CCTGCAATGCAGAAGCTGAAACTAGCTATTATGGAAGGAAACGCAAACTGTTGGAAAGATTCTGATATCGCAGACTTCAAAGCAATTAAACATGAATTGTCAGTTGAAGAAAATGTGATACTCCGTGACACAAGAATAGTCCTTCCGATAAGCCTAAGATCACGAGCAGTAGATCTAGCACACAAGTCCCATCAGGGCATAGTGAAAACTAAGCAGTTAATACGCGAAAAAGTCTGGTTCCCAGGAATAGACAGTATGGTAGAACGCAAAGTCAAGAATTGCCTTGACTGTCAATCGTCATCATCGATCGGTTCACCACCAGAGCCACTGAGAATGTCAAAGCTTCCAGAAAGTCCGTGGAAAGAAGTATCCATATATTTTAAAGGACCTTTTCCTACAGGAGAATACCTACTTGTAATCATAGACGATTTTAGTCGGTTTCCAGAAGTCGAAATCGTATCGTCTACCTCTGCAAAAGCTACAATTCCGAAACTGGACGCTGTCTTTGCCCGCCAAGGCATACCGGACATTGTAAAAAGCGATAACGGACCTCCATTTAATGGTTTTGAATTTTCGCAGTTCGCAGAGTATATGAGTTTCTCGCACAAGAATGTACTCCATTGTGGCCACGTGCCAACGGTGAAGCAGAACGCTTCATGCGTACACTTGTCAAGCTAGTACACACCAGTACTGCATCTGGACTTAACTGGAAACAGGAACTTTGGACATTTCTTCGCCAATATAGAGCTACACCTCATTCAACTACGGGCAAATCGCCTAGTGAGGCTCTCAATGGAAGAAAACTTAAAACAACTCTTCCACAAGCTAAAGATAAATCGATAGGCATACATCAAAGCATCCGCGAAAAGTACAGAATTGTGTTATTGATATGTATGCTTTTACATCAGTATCACATTGCATTTATTATATTATGTGCTTGTTTTTATATATTTATCTATTTTTATTTACTTTATTTTATTATTACATATTTTTATTTTTTTATTTTTTTATTTTTTTTTAATTTATTTATTTTTTTATTATTTTTTTTATTTATTTTTTTAAAATTTTTTTTTGCCCTTTTAGTTAAGATTTTAAACTTTAGAATATTATATTATTTTAATTGGATTTGGATTTTTCATTACTGTTGTCTCTTTTTTTATGAATTTATCTTTACTTGTAACTTTTGTTCTGTTGTATGGTCGAACCTCTCCTGCGTGAGAGTGTTCCTCTGCTTTGAAAGAGAGAGCCAATAAATTATTATTATTATTATTATTATTATTATTATTATTATTATTATTATTATTATTATTAAGCCAATGCTGATAAACACTTACACGCTAAACCAACAACCATAAACATCGGTGACAAAGTACTCATTAAGCAGAAACGTAGAAATATGCTCGACCCTCCATTTAATTCGGAACCTTTTGTTGTCGTCGAAAGGAAGGGAAATTGTATAACAGCACAACAAGGCGAAATTTCTGTCACCAGAAACTGTACCTTTTTCAAGAAGCTAGTGAACATGCAAAATAAAGAATGCATAACGGAAAACGAATCACAACCAACCACCAGAGCACCAATAACCAAACCACAGCTAACTCCAACTTGACACTCTACTAGAATCAAGAAACCTCCCACAATCTTAAATGACTACGGAATAATGAACATTTCTATTTTAAACATAAGCATATCACTTCTAAAATTCTGAAAGGAAATTTGAACTGTTGTTTTGAATTCAGAAAGTTGATATTTAAAGTTGTTGTTAAAGCACTGAGTTCAAGTGCACTGTTAAAACTAAGAAGAATTAGTTTATAACTTGTTTGATGAGCTGTGCTCATGTGTTTAAATTTTAAAGTTAATTGACGCATAAAAAAAATATATATATATATATATATACACATTAGACACTGTAATCTGAATGTCAGCTGTTTATTGTTAATCTGCTAAAGAAATATACTAGTCACATCATTACATAACAGAAGACAAATATATACTGTAATCATCTAAAGCTA